CAAATCAAGCGGTGTGGCTAAGGAAAGTAATGCATGATCTAAAGTTGGATGCATCTCTGCCAACCGAAATTTTGGTGGATAATAAGTCGGCCATTGAAATTGCTAAGATCCCAGTGATGCATGGTCGAACCAAGCACATTAATGTGAAGTTCCATGCAATTAGAGATGCTGAAAAGAGTGGTGAAATCAAGCTTACTTATTACTCATCCGATGAGCAACTGGCGAACATTCTGACAAAGCCATTTGGAAAAGGGAAATTCAAAATGATGAGAAGGGAGTTAGGAATTGTAGGGACTGATTCTTAAGGAGGAGTGTTAGATTATTAAGAATCAGTTAAAATATATTCTTATCAACTTGTATTTGAATTTTAAATTTAAGTTTCATTGAATTATATTGTAACTGGATAAGAGTGGAATTGAGTTTGTATACAAGATCATCACTTGCACGAAAAAACAGAATCTGTGATTATAAACTAGTTTATTTAAGCCATGCAAACATGAATGAAATCGTAGCCCTTTTTCTTGCATCATCTTCTCAAAATTTTACCGAAACACAGAAACAAAGAACTTTGCAGGGTTTTGCTATATTTCTGTGCACTCTCTCTCTTACTTTCTCTCTCTACAAAAGCTACGCAATTAATTTTTGCAAGTAGCAAATTTCCACGTAAGAATATTACACTTAGCAAACGTTTGAAGGGCTAGCATACTAAAGACTTCCCCAAGCTAGGGAAGGAGATTTTACTCAAATCAATAACGCAAGCTTTCCCAACTTTTTGTATGGGGGTTTTTCACATTCTGATGACTTATGTGTGAAGAACTTCAATGCATGATGAACATTTTTTGGTTGGGTATAAGAAAAAATGGTCGAAGAAATCTGCATTGGCTATCGTTGGAATATATATGCAAAAGCAAGGAAGAATGTGGCATGGGTTTCCGTAAGATACTCGGCAAACAAGGTTGGAGGATTTTTAGCAACCCGGACTCCTTAATTGCTAGAACGTTCAAAGGTAGATACTTACCTCAAGGGGATATGTTAACTACAAGGTTGGGTTCCAAACCCAGTTTCACTTGGAGGAATCTGTTTGTAGCTAAAGATCTCTTGATGAGTGGCTTGAGATGGGTTATAGGAAGCAAGGAGAGTGTTGGAGTATGGAAGGACTCGTGGATGCCTAGAGAGCAAGATTTCTAAGTCCAAAGCCCATGCATCGAAGGCCTTACAGATATATATTTATGTGACCTTATGAACAAGGATTTGTTGAGCTGGAACTCAGATATGATCAGGGTCTTGTTTGGGAAAGAGGAAAATGTGTTCATCCTCAGTATCTTGTTGAGCTTGAGACGTAGGGAGGATAAATATACCTGGGTCTACTCGAAGGATGGTAGTTACACCGTAAAGTCAGCATACCAACACTTAAAAGACATTCATGCAAATCATGCAATGAATACATTTTATTTGTGAAAATACATTTGGGGTGCTGAAGTCCCTCCTAAAGTAAAGAGCTTCACATGGAGATTGTTGAACAACATCCTACTTGTAAAATCCAGACTAAGAGAGAAGGGTATTGGGATTATTAATACATGTCCAAGATGCAGTAAAGAGGAAACCATTTTGCATACTTTCTTTGAATGTGAAAAAGCTAGAGGCTGCTGGAGGTTACTGGGCATTCAATTACAGTCAACTCAGCTAAGAGGTTTGCTTGGATGGACGGAGCTAAACGTCAAGAACCTACCGAAGTAGGCAATAGTGGAAATACTTTGCTGCTTATGGCGTACCTCGCTGGAACGGAATGAATTTCTGTAGACAAGAAGGAAGTTTGCCTATCAGACGTCCATCTTCTTAATGAGGAAATTCTTTAACTGAACGGAGACAAGCGAAGGAAATCCGTGATATATGTAACGTGCAACAACAACAAACTTCACCCATTCCCTCTGTATGACAAGCTCCAGCATCAGGACTTTGGAAATACAATGTTGATGGAACTATTTTCGATGTCGGTTCTGAGGCAGGGTACGGAGCAGTCATCCGAGATTCTTCAGGAACAGTGTTGCTAGTGTTCTCTGGTGGGTTACAAGGGTGTCGTTCACCTTACTTAGCTGGATTGTTGGGCAACTGAAGTGCGATGCAGTATATACTCTCAAACGTCAATGGACCAGACATCCTGAAAGCGGATGCCCAGAAGGTGAAAACAGCTTTGATGTCCATTGAGGAAGATGGTTCTTAGTTGGGGTTTATTATAGATGCTTTAATGAACTTGGGTTATTTTCAAAAAAATATATATTATTGCTGATATGTACATTTTATACTATAATAACACATAAAATGTAAGTGATTAACATTGGAAATTGAGCTCAAAAAAAAAAAAAAACATTGGAAATTTTTTCTATGTAATTTATTTTGGAAATTAAAAAATAAAGGACATAGTGAAAATAATTGTGTGCATTATATATTCCCCACCCACTTAGCTAAGACTCTAGCTTAAACTGAGTTGGTCAACGTATATATTCTTGTATTATACATAATGGCGGCTCAAAAAAACTTTGTAGGGTGTTTGACATTTCAAGGGGATGAGTCAACGCAGCATCTGATTAGGAATCTAAGCCATCAAAAACACACCTCCATAATTCATGCTTATTGGTTACAATTAAAATAAATCCAATGACTTTTTTTTTTTTTATTTATAATTTGGTCCAACTCCACAACTACACCCTCAAACCACTTTACCTATACATACATAAAAAAAAAATATAACCCATAATTCATATTTAATTCTATTATATATAGAGATTTATTTAGACTTTTACTTTTTTGTCCTTATCTGTATACCCATTAATATATGTATTTGACTAATACTTAATTTGTCTTATATTTTCCTTCCCCTAATTATTATGTTTTTAACTAGATTTTTGTCTTATTTTATGAACAGAATATAGTTTTCTCATTATATAAAAATATATATATATAATGTAAATATGAACAAAATTATACAGAAGTAAAAAATATAAAAACAATATGTGATCCAAAATTTCATATGTGTATAATTTTAAAATTTGTAATTAATTAAAAATAAAATAAATAAATATTATCATATAAAAAATGAATAATCCGCCCACTAGATCCTTCTAAGTCACAGTGAATTAAGGGAAGGGGGACAAGAAGGGACATTTTCCACTCCCTGAAATTAAGTGTTTTACATGTTATTCTATGTATACATACATACATATACATATACATATACATATATATGTATATATATATATGGTATGGACACGTTATAGCTAAACTTGTTAATTAGTCATATATAAATAAAAATTTTCTCTGACTTCTTAGTTATTTCCAACCTATTATTTTTGTAAAAATGATACTACATAATCGATTATATAATTTTTTTGGCTCTATTGCCATTAAAATATATATATATATATAATATAATTTGGATCAAAATTCGAATTCACTATAGACTTGATTCATTGGTCAAAGGGTAGTTGTTTGTGATTTTTAAATATATATATTTTTTTTACAAATATATATATATATATATATATTAGTCTTTTCTCCATAGCATTATATGCAAAATAGTGGGTTTGTAGTGAATTCTAATATCATTTATAAAATATTAACCTCTTAATTTACATATTATTAATAAATTGAATTTATATTTACTAATAATTTAGAACTAAAATTGGTGGGCTAATTGTTTTGGGACTCTGAGTCATTATAAATGTTACCAATATAATATATATGTTTATTATATGTTTTAGCACATTTATATCAACAGCATAACAACAATGTCTTGGTATATATATATATATATATATACATTTTTTGGTAAATGTCTTAGTATATAATAAAATGTATTAGTAATAGCGTTATATATTAGTAAGATATATTACTATATATACTATGTATTACTATATTAGTAATAAGACACATTGATAATCTATATTCATTATACTACTATATCTATCTTTTTATTCATAACTTTCCGCCTATATATATACATATACATATATATTTATATATATTCCATTAACTCGTCTCAATTCCATATAGCAAACCAACTAACTACATAAAATCTTCATAAGTATTTATTTTTATAAATTAATCTCAAATGTCTTCTTCCCAGACATGTGCACGGCTTCCTGTATTTGACATCTCTCAGCCCTTTACCCCATCTTCCCTCTCCTCCCTCTCTCAAGCTTGCCAACAATGGGGTTTCTTCCACATAATCAACCATGGAATTTCCACACATCTATACAGGAAGCTTTACACACATTCCAATCGTCTCTTCACTCTCCCTTCCCACACCAAATGCAAGGCCGGTCCTTCTTCTTCCATTAACACCTACACTCCTCCTTTCATTGCTTCCCCTTTCTTCGAAAGCCTTCGAGTCTCCGGCCCGGACTTCTTCTCTTCTGCTCAGAGTTCAGCCGAAATTCTCGTCGACGACTCGGATTCGGAATTCAGGTAAGATCATCTTCAACCTCACAGCAGCTCTAGTTTTCTTCCATGACAAGGCATCAAATCAATTAATCGATTTGTTTTTAAACGGTTTGTCGTGTTCTTCCCAGTGAGGTAGTAGAGGAATATGGGAAGAAGATGAGTGAGCTATCGAAGAAAATTGTACAGGCTGTTTTGATGAGCTTGGGAATCGATTTCGAGAAGAAATTTTACGAGACCGAATTCAGAAATTGCCATGGTTACCTGAGGATAAACAATTACTTGCCACCGCCGTCGGAGGAAAAGGTCGAGGAAGATAAAATTGAAGGGCTAGGAATGCACACAGACATGAGCTGCGTGACGATTGTGTATCAGAACGAAATTGGTGGACTCCAGGTTAGATCCGTGGAAGGGAAATGGATGGATATAAATCCATGTGAGGAGACTCTTGTGGTGAACATTGGGGACTTAATGGAAGCATGGAGTGATGGGCGATTGAGATCGTCCGAACACAGAGTTGTTTTGAAGAAATCTGTTAATAGATTCTCTGTGGCCTTCTTCTGGTGCTTTGAAGATGAGAAATTGATTTATGCACCCAGTGAAGTTGTGGGAGAAGAAAATGTAAGGAGGTATAAGCCGTTTGTTTGCAGAGATTATGTGAGATTTAGAGAGAGCAGTGAGGAAGGTAAGTTTGAGAAAGTTGGATACACTGTCAAAAACTTTGCAGGTATTGAAAGCTGAAAGTTTATGAAAGTCAATCACGCTAAACCCATAAATATTTATGTATATGTTTACTATATATATATATATATATATATTCTCCTATTGGCTATTTATTGAGTTACTGAAAATGTGTTTAAACTTACATTTAATTATTCTGTAAGTTCTCATTTTGTGTGGTAATGGACTCTGTTTGTGAAGTCTTCCTCTGTTAATCACATCCCCTGTTCTTTTGGGGGGAAGAACAGTAATTGTTTCTGAATATTGGCCCTTATATACAATTATCACTAATTAATTTCTCTTTTTTTTTTTTAAAGTGAATGTTTATTTCTTTAATTAATTATGATATATACAATCATAAAAATTTTTCCAACAATTATATATAGAATTCATAATCTTATTATTATTATTTTTTAAAATACTAATTATCTAACTCATAAACGATAGATCTAACTCTCTGTTTTAAACTTTTACTACATTATTTTTTATTTTGACTATTATTATATTAATTATTAATAATTTTTATATAATTTCATAAATGAAATTTAAAAGACAATGAGAAATTCGTATTTCAAATGGGTAAATTTGACTTAAAATGAGGAAGAGAAAATTATAAAAATAAATACTCAAGTATCACATGGCACATAATCTAATAATCAACATTAATAGATTCTGGCTTGCAAAAAACGGCGACGTATTTGGAGTTATTTAGCATACATTTCGGTGCAGGGTCAATATTGTGTTCAGTGGAATTAGACACGTCATCATCCGTAAATATAAACTATAAATACATAATCTAATAATCAACATTATGGGAGGCCACGAATGGTCAGGGCAAAAGAATAAAAGGCTTTTTTTTTTTTTAATTTTTTATTTCTCCATCAACCATTCACCAAGGTCAAATTTCCTGTCACCACACATTGATGTCAATTTTCCAGACCGTTGTGTTTTTCACCAAAATGCTCTTTTAATTTCTATATCCTCATCCTTTATTTTACCTTTTTTTTTTTTTTTTTTTAATTTTTTTAATCTAACATACGATACTTTTTATTCTACTTTCAATTCTTATTTTATTAAGAATAAAATTTTTAATTAAAAATTATATTTACCAAATAATTAGAAATTCTGTCCATCAACATGTATGATCTTAAATCATAATAACAATTTTCTGCAGAGTTTGTTAACTTGATTAATTCACTTACTTCTATTATATAATGTTAATCATTTAATATTAGAATTTTAATTTTTATTTATAGTGACAGTTATATGTTTTATGATCAAAATAATTGAATTTTTTTTGCTTATGCGGAGTGTTTTTAATATTTTAATATTAGAATTAATTACTAATTTTAATTTAATAAAAGTTTATATTTTTTAAAAATAAATCGAAATATGTTCTTATTTATTAATAAATTTTTTGCTAACACAACCTATTACCGCAAATGCTTATCAAAAAGTTTTTTACAAGTTAATGTATCATTTTAAATTTATTGTAAATAAATAAGCAACCCAAATCAGGACCCAAAAAAAAAAAAAAAAAAAGAAAAAAACTATTTGGAGAAGTTATGACATATAAGTTGATCCTCGGTGTCTAATGTGCGGGGAAGTGTTGAACATCTGGATATTCATGAAATGTGGCCAACCAAAATCTTTGTTTGTACGAGTGGTTCCTCTGTGTTTTATGGGATATAGTTGCACAAGTGGATTTAGCCTTATGATTTGATTTAAAAACTACTGCGAATTTTATATAGCCTTATGATGACAAAGGAAATTCATTGGTCACTCTTTCGGAATGCTTCAAGACCAATGGCAACATCACATTGGATTGCCCCCACCACTAGGCACGTAAAAAACTTACCTGGACTTGTCTTGAAATTGTATGTAGAGAGACAGTACTAGTGCAGTCCACAATCTACTTACTAAACACTCATTACCACGTTGACTTTATCATTGATTTGTTAACTATTCCTAAATTATATAAGTTAATTTCTATTTCTAAATTATTCCCACCTAAAAAAAAAAAAAATCCCCCCATAATCTGAGTAAAAATTGTAATGCAGGAAATTTAAATTCGTTTGATCGGACTGAGCAATTGAAAAGAGAAAATCAAAGAAAAGATTTCGGACCACGCTCTCACAAATTCTCTCTTCTCAAGAACTCTCTCTCTCTCTCTCTCTCTCTCTTCGCAAGTCCTCTTTTCCCCCTTTCGAGCTCTCGGGCCTCGCCTTTAACTAATCGGATGAACACGCTTCTTCCTTATCTTCTTCGGATCATGGTCCCACTTGTCTTCCTCCTTATTTTCTTCCCAGAATAATAGCCCTCTCCTTTCCACCAAATTTTCGAAAACCAGAAGCCTTAATCTCGTTGCAACGACGCCGTTTCGATAAGCGATTGAACGACGTAGTTTCAACGTTTTTTCTTTCAGAGGCTTAAACAGCGTCTTTTTGCGTGGGCCTGGGCTCGGGCCCTTTTTTCTTTTCCTGGGCTGGGCCGTTGGGCTTTTTTTTTTTTTTTTTTTTTACTTCTTTTCCTTTTCTTTTTCATTTTCTTTTTGTCACAAATACAATATTTAAAATAGAATAAAATAAGACTTAATTAAAATTAATTTCACAGTCTTTCTTAATTATTATTTTTTGTTATTTTATAAGATATAGAAAAGTACACTATAAGACGTAACATGATTAATCTACGTGGAAAATACATTATTTTAATTTTACAAGATATCTCAAGTATTCATAAAATAAATATATTAAAAAAAAAAAAAGTTAAATACCATTTCATGATTCTTTTGACATATATAGATTTAAAATGATATTTGAATGTTAATAATATAAAGTGAATTTCATCTCATTGGGAGTTGGACAGCGGCAACAACTGGTTTCAATGTGACAGTGATATTTATGGACAGAAATAATATTGATATTAATCCCTGTTTGGTACGGTTGAAAATAAATGAGATATTAAGTGTCCTCCTATTTATTTTGGCAAGTGTTATTATCGCTATTTATTTTTCCCAACTCCTTTCCTTTGGCACAATAATGTTCAGGAGAGCTACCGGAAAAAAAAGAAAAAAGAAAAATTGATTATTAATTTTATAGTTGAAAGTGTTTTCAAATTAATACAACTTTTTGGTCTCCTTTGAGAGGGCCAAAAAATAATAAAAATAATTTCTATTTAGTATTGTGACTTTAAAATCATTATATTTACTATTTTATAATTTTAATTAATATCATTATCTATTATGTTCGTATAATAATACATTGTTATTAAAGTTAATTTTGAGGTGAAAAAAATTGAACTTTCATTTTAATTTCACATGGAAATTTTGGCGTTCAATTATTGAGTCACTGTATCTCATCTCTGAATATCTGAACACTGACACATTTAATTCATTGTTGGGTCGGGCCGCATAGGTTCGGGTCTTCCCAAACTTCTTGTTTTATTTGCAAAGTAGGTTCGGGTCCTTCTATAGACATATGATATGTATATATGTATGAGCAGTAGTGGGGGGCTGAAGCTGAAGTTTTCCTCTCTCTCTCTCTCTCTCTCTCTGAAGGTGGGTGAGTTCCTGCAATTTTGAGAAAGGAGAAAAGAAAGGAAAATGGAGAATTTGTGGGACAAATGGGTAGAAGAATCGGTGGAGAAGCTGGAGGGTTCAAAACTGCTGTTATCTCTGAGAACTATGTATCTGAAGAATCTGGAAGAAGAGGAGGAAGTAAGAGGAAGCAGAACAAATTTGGAAGAAGAATTTCCAGTCTTCAATCAATTGAACCCATGGGACCGAAACTCTGTAGAGCTGGCTGTTTCAGAGTTTACCTTTAACAAATGGGTCAATGGTCTCTCCAGTTGTGGTAACTTCTTAAATATAGTCCTTCTTCCTCTTCTTAAATTGCTTCACATATACATGTGTCCGAGACATCAAGGTGAACTGATTTTTCACTTCCGAGGGAGAAGAAGATTAAGAAAGGGTGGTCCGAGTTTTGTATTCTGCATTAGTTTTTTATTTTTTTCTCCATCAACCAACCAGTCCTGGGGAGCATATATGAATACACACACACACACACACACAAATATATATAATATGTTACAGTAAATGGGTTTGGAACCTTAAAAGAGTTTGTTTACAGATAGTATCTGTAGAAAAGGTTTACATTTGCTGCTAGAGAGGGATATTAGACAGTTATATTTATATGTTTAATATACATTTATGTTGGGGATTTTTGGATTTGTAGGAGAGGAGATTGTTCACAGGAATCCAGAGCAGAAATTCAGGAAGTTGCTTGCATTCTCTGGAAATGATTATCTGGGGTTGAGCGCCCATCCCGCAGTTACAAATGCCGCCGCAAAGGTTACTCTTCATCTCCTTTTTCTCTTATTTTTCTTTTTTAATAATAAAATAATTATTTGTATTATCTTAAAAACAAAATATATTCAAAATAAAATTAACTTCTATAGTTTTGTGCCAAATTTTCAGAGTTATAAAAAATTACAAATCAAAATAAATTTGTAATTTAAAGATAAAATTGTAACAAAATGTTTTGAAAAATGATCTTAATATAAACATAATTGAAGTTCTAAAATAATAACTTTGCCTTAAAATTTATAATGTAATTTATTATATGAAAATCAATTTATTATTTGAAAAAAAATTTAATGAGAGATATATATATATATACATACATACATACATATATGTGGGTGATAAGTTCATAAAATGATGAAAGAATTAATTAGACTTGGCTAAGATGAGTATATATGAGCAAGCAGGCAGCCCGAGAGCATGGAATGGGGCCAAGGGGCTCTCTTTTAGGGTGTGGGTATACCAACTACCACCGGATGTTGGAGACAAGCTTGGCGAGGTCCAAGAAAAAGGAGGTATGTATAGTTTTATTATTCCCCAAATTAAATTACTATTTATTATATTTGCCACAAATATATATTGTGATTGGAAAATTTGGAGTGGAAATGGAGAAAAATAGAATCAAGAAATTTATTTGTAATGGAAATATTAAATGGAGGAAGCAAATAATTAGTTGAAAAGGAATTGAGTAACAGAAGATATTTTGTTTACGTACAGGATTGTGTTCTTTGTCCAACGGGGTACGCCGCAAATGAGGCGACGATGGTAGCAATCGGCGGAGTGGCCGCTCTGTTATCGCCGGGTGAAAAGCCTGGCGACGCCGACAAGGTTGCCATTTTCTCCGATGCCCTAAATCACGCATCCATTATTGACGGTATGCGTCTTGCAGAAAAGCAAGGCAATGCTGAAGTCTTCGTCTACAGACACTCCGACATGTCCCAACTCGATGCCTTGTTGTTAGTACTCATTTTCTCATTCCATATTTCCTCTGCTCTCTCTCTCTCTCTCTCTGTTTTTTCTCACTTCGATATCATTTTCTGTTTATCCGGCAGATCGAATTGTCCCCTCAAGAAAAAGGTTGTAGTCACTGATAGGTTGGTCTTCTTATTTTTTCTTTTCCTCTCAAATTAATTGAAAGATTATACGATTTCAAGGATTTGTTCTGTTGTTTTTCAGCTTGTTTAGTATGGAAGGAGACTTGGCGCCACTGGATGTGCTTGTTAAGCTTCGAAAGAAGTATGGCTTCCTTTTAGTCATGGATGACGTAAGTCCTCTCTTCAATATAATTCACCGCTGCTGATAGATGTTGAGAAATTTTCTTTTGCTGATAGATCTTTTACTCTGCTCAGGCTCATGGGAGTTTTGTTTTCGGCGAAAACGGAGGTGGACTAGCTGAGCTATTTGATTGCGAAAACGAAGTTGACATTGTTGTTGGGACTCTAAGTAAGGCAACTGGTTGCCTAGGCGGATTCGTAGCATGCAGGTAAAAACTTTTGGTAATAAATTAAAGCCCAGAAAAAGGATAAAATTATTATGCTACCTGCTAAATATGTATTTGTTCAGCAAAAATTGGAAGAAACTGATTCAGTCAAAAGGTCGATCGCTTATGTTTTCAACTTCTATGCCACTCCCTCTTGCTGCCGCTGCACATGGTAATCTAATAAACTCCACTACTCGTGTTTGGCCAGTGTCTAGGCCATCCAATAAGTTTTTGTCTCTCAACAGCATAAGCTTTAATTTGTAGCTGCTGTAGTCGTGGCAAAAAAAGAAAAATGGCGGAGAAAGGCAATTCTGGATAATATGCGGGAATTCACTGCTCTCTCGGGAGTTCGCCTCACTAGTCCCATCGTCTCTCTTGTTGTAGGCACTGAAGAGAAAGCCATTCGGGCTGGCAAGTATATGCTAGAATCTGGGTTTCATGTGCTGCCAGTCAGACCGCCTGTAGTGCCTCCAAACTCATGCAGGTTTGCTGTGTTTCTTTCATTTACTCTACTATGAACATTACATGGTTGTGTATCTTTATCTATTTCGCTATAAATTTCAGTGTAAACATAATATATATTCCTGATCTGTTTTCTTCTTTTCTTTAATACGTAGGCTAAGGGTGACACTCACAGCAGCTCATACAAAAGAGGATATACAGAATCTGATAGCTGCGTTGTCAAAATACATAAACTTCCAAGATTTTATCACAAATAACTCAAATATATCCTCCAAGCTCTAAAATTCAGATTGTCTTTACCTTACATATCTTATCTGCGATGAAATATTTGAATAAGGAACATTGATTATAGTTAAGTGAACAAGAAGGATGAAAAGTATCCATTCGACCTTCTTGTGCATGACATCCCATTTTCAATTTGTATGAAGATGAACTTGATTTCAATAATCAGTGTCCAATTATGTGTATTTATAAGATAGCTCCAGCTAACTAAGACCGAGACCAAGTTACCATTGGGAAGCCAATCTCTTGAGTGCCTTTTATTGTAAAGACTGGTTCATTCATGCTTTATGCGGTCCAAAATTTTTTATTTGCATAAGATAAATTCTATGCCATGTCTTTCAGTAAAACTGAAGAGCTACTTGTATAATAAGGTTAAATTTTTTCTAGTCATCCACTGTTAAAAGAAAAAAGAAAAAATCCCAGCAGTAAAAACAGAGAACCAGGGCCATGAAACAGAACAATATACACTTTCACTTATTTTACGTCGGATACATGATTGGAGATCGGTAAACTGTCCAATTAAGACGAGAGAATCTTGGGGATCTTGAATCAAATTCCCCAGTCAAAAATTCAGACCATGGTGCCATGCGACATTCTGTATTATGTGACTTCGAAACTATACCCTCTCCTAAGGCAAAATTATGAAATCTACACCATTAACTATAAATTCCTTTTCAATCACCTGCAATACTCCTTGATAATAGATATAGGCACTTAAGATATATAGCCTTTAGTGGAAAATAATAGTGTCGTATAGTACTAATCGATTATCTGCAACTTATTATTAATTGATTAGCCCCACCTGGATTTATCAACCATGGAAGAGTTGTCTCCTCTGATAGGTTAGACGTGCAGGCGAGGTGTTGCTGGGACCCAGATTCTGATACTGGGACAAGCAAAATCCACCTTCACCGTGGTTTTCAGGAAGTTCATTAAGGTTGATGGAAGTGTAGCTATTCGTCTTGCCATTATGGGTGGTGGTCTCATGGGGAATAAGGGGAGTGGGAACGATGAAATGCCGCCTTTCAGCTAATGGTTTGAAAGGGGAAGCAAGGTGAGTAGGAGAAGGCGCTGTGGGAGTTGTGGACGAAGAGGGGGGAGTAGGGACTGGAAGTATGTCTTCAAGTGGAACCGTTGGGGAAATTCCCATGTTTGGCCACAGGAAGCTACCTTGGGGCTTGCATATTCTGAACCCACTCTTCAGCCGTTCTATTTTGCTTGCCATGTCCTCTGTCGCTGATATTGTTTTCAGCGGTGGGAACGGCGGCGCCGGAGGTGCTGCTTTCCCTCTTAACCTTTCTCTCTCTTCTTCCTTCTCCGATATTATTTCTGATTCTTGGTTTTTACCAGTCACAGCAGTTGTTTCCTTGTTAGTGCTTGATGATGGTGGTGGAGGTACTGAGAATAATAATGGTGTCTGAGTTGGCCCTGCCGCCTTGTTAGATCCAGGTTCTTGGACAATTGATTCGGGCCTTGGTCTCTCACCCTGCACGATCATCTGTATCAATATGGTACACAACATTCTTAACGCTGCCTTGAAAAATATTGAAACTTTGATGGATTATTAGAAATTGATACTAACAAATTATTTACAACATATTTACTTATGTAACTTTTTAAAATAACATCATATAAAATTTTTAAAAAAATTAAAATATACATTTTTATTTTTAAATTAATAAACTTAAAATATATTATTTAAACTACACTTAAAATTTTTTATAAAATTAATTTAGGTCATTTTAATAAAATTTACATAATTTTTTAATTTCACTGAGTGAAAAATTATAAATAAATACATAGCTAATGCCTTTACTAAAAAGATAAATAGTTTATTTATAAATGGAAGCAGAATATACGCCATAATTACACACAGAACATAAATGCTAAAAATCATGCGCCACTACGTATTCCAATCGCTAAATACACAAATCCAAACTTGGCAGCAACACGAAAATCAGTGGATAGAGAAAACCAAACAACAGCAGTACAGTAATGTGAGCGGCAAGGGTTATAAATGATTCTCAAAGAACTAGTTGATACCATTCATTAGAAAATTGGATAAATTATAAATTATATAAAAAATTTTATGTTATAATGTAACTAAATTCTTGTCATATACTATGCATAAAATATGATTTTTATAATTGTACAAAACAAAGTATAAACAATATTTTTAGATGTAAAATTATATGAAAGTAAAAAAAAAAAATTCTAATAAAAATATAAAAAAAATTATCATACCTTAATTTTTGAAAATAGATTTGCAAATGGAATGCCAGAAAAAAAAAATGATCAATAATTTATAGTGTATAATTTAAAAGTTTATGACCACCTAAAAATAAATTATATAGAAATACAAGTATATTTAATTTAAATTTTTAAATCTAAAATATTTAAATATGTAACTATTATATATTATTATATTATTTTTATTTTAATATATTTAAAATTATTTTTATATTATAAAAATAAGTAGATAATTGTTATATATATTATTGTATTAAATATAAAATTATTAAAAAAATGAAGAATTGATATTTGGGAATTTCTGGTACTATATATATATATTACAGCCTAATCCTAACTTTTAAAAAAAATTAAAATAATCTTTGATCCTACATGAAAAGCCAAAACCAGAGAAAAAAAAAGCAACAATATGTAGAGATGTTCCATCAGAAGCATGACCACATTCATATATTATGTATTTTCAAACAAAAAAATAAAGATCACGGTGTGAAAGCCTTTTCATGTTTGAAATATATACCTGTGAAATTTTCATCAATTGGTCCTCAATCTGAGCTTTTTTGTTAATTAGGTCTGTGTACATTTCCTGCCAAAAGAATCGACTAAAATGTCAAAGAATGACTCTTGGATATGAGAATTGATAATTAAACTTTTCACCCTTTCACCTTCCGTAGAATTATCGAGTTATCAAGCTGCCGGGTCTCGCTTGTGACAATAGAATTTAAGGTGGTCACAGTGGCAAGGTCTTCTTCTTGTTTCTTAGATATATGTTGCTCCATCTCTCTGATCAACAAAGCATAAGAACCATTAGACAGAATAGCCTAAAAGGAATTCTTTTGGGTTATACTGACAAAAAAGAAAGGAAAATCATTAAACGGGGATAAATACTTGTCAACTTGGACATTATTATGTGAAAACGCCGAGAAAGAAATCTCATCATCGTTAACCATAAATATATTAAACGCATGTTAAGGAAAGAAAGAAAAAACAATGGCCACATCTACATACCTTTCCAATTTGGCGACCCTTTCTCTAAGCTCCTTGATTTCCCTCGCACAAACAGGGTCTTGGGTAGGGTTATCACCAGGCTTCCATCCAGCTGGTGGCGTCCAATATGGATCTTGAACCCCAGCCTCCTTTCTAATATTGACCAAATCCGCGCCCTCCAGCCAGTACTCCATTGCCCCATCTGCATTATGCCGCCTCATAAACCTCTCTTGTCCACCAGGAGCCACCTTTCCGGCCATATGCTTGAGCAGATGATCCAAAAGACCTGTGTCGCCTATCAACTTCCTGGCCTCTGATCTCAACGCTGGTCTCAGGATTGAGTTTCCAAACACTGCACCTTTCTCCTTTAAGACTTTCAACATGTTTTTCTCGGCCAATTTATACCTTTCATCAGACAACGCAATGGTAATTTGTTAAAACATTGACATTAACTACTGACTTGTCACTAGTTAGTTATTACCAATAACAATAATTAGTTAATTCCCACCTCTGAAGGGACCATCTATCTATGAAGTTCTTCTGTCTGTTTTCCTTGGTATTCCGCTGGTTAGCCAAAGTCTGATACCGTTTCTCACGTTTAACCCGCTTAGCTTTGTGAGTTGATCTCTGGCGTTTTCTCTTACGGTTATTCCTCTTCGTTGACTCACCAGAATCATTATCTCCATTGACATTCTCCTCATAGTCATCAATTTCTTCTGCCTCTTTTGCATCCTCTTCCTCTTCGTCATCCTTAATGTTCTCTTCGCTTTTCACTTCCTGACCTTCACTGACGGGACTGCTTGAAACAATCTGCTCCGTTGCTTCATGATCCTTCTCCTTCAGGTGTCGGCTAAGGTACCTAACTTGGCGGCGGTTGCCCCACTTGACCATCCCTGTAGAAGAGAGTTGAGACCAGCATAGTCCCTTTTTTGAAACCACGCTACAGAGCTTATTGATCGACGCTGTACTTGGAATTTTTTCCTTATCATCCGAAGGCATCATCACCCAGAAACTCCATTCCTTTCTCCTGACTGAGATTTGGTGAGGTGGGACTCTCCGGTAAAGTACTTCTCCGGCCAGTTCCAATCCCATCACATGTTTTTCGTCCATTGCTGGCAGCATATTCTTCTCTGTCTTCCTCCGGTTCCTCTCGCTGAAGTGGTCACGGAGAGAATGGATACTTGGGAACCTCAGTGAAACGCTATTTTTGGACTTCTTACTCACCTGTACGTGTAACAACACTGATCCCATATTACCGTTGCAAAAGGAGGAAAGTGTTTAAAGAATGAAGCATACATCAATGTTTGTGAAGTAAGCGAAAATAACAGACTCTTCATGATATTTGATCGTGTTTTTATTTACCACAATGATTCTGATCGACCTGAGTTGATCCGGGGTTCTTCGAGAGAGTTTTGAATGGTCTATCTCATAGTATGAACCCACTTTAATGTGCGCTGCAGCATCTGGAAACAATAAGGACAGTCCTCAAAGCAAGGAAGAGCAATAGTACGGAAAAAAGGAAATAAAAAGTAGCAGGGACTTTTCTATGATACCATTGGTACAAACCGGTGAAGATGGGCTCAGTTCTTGTCTACCCAAACAAGGGCTGTTTGCGGCGTCCTCTTTTTGTTGTTGGTTCTTTTTTAAGCAAATCATTTCCTTCATAATCATTCATATATTCAAATATACAAAATGGCAATGTGTTTTTGGAGGCAAGAAAATGGTACTTAAAACCAACAACCCGTAGAAGTAATTATGGGACTATATCGTTGTCGCTACATGTAGGTACTATATACACACACTGACAAACAGTATTATTTTACCCTACATGCACTCTCGTTACGTTATTAGAATCAAAATCACAAATGCATCATGTCCACTGTGCACGTGGCCAGTTTAATTCTCATAGTATGTGAAAAGCGAAAAATAAAAAACAAGACAAAATAGACACGTGAACGTGGAGACTTTTTATCTCTATTAGAAAAAGTCGACATGTCATCTGTATGAGTACGTCGCGCCAGCCAGTAAGGAATGAAGGCTGATGCCTTGCATGCACACACAAAATGAATAATGCATTCGAAGCAAATTTATTTGTTAAATATATATTTATTTGCCTTAATTTTACCGCACATTTACTACTGTGTATTTTTTTAAAATAATACATATAACATATAGTGATAAAAAATGAAAGTTAAGAGATATTAAACTTTGATAAATAATATTTAATGAAATAGTAACAATTTTTAATATAAATTAAAATTATTAAAATCTACAGAATTATTTCAAATAGGATACTTTTTTTCCGTTGTGATTTTTATTTTTAGAGAAAAATTATCAATATCATTTTTTATTCTGTTTTTATTTAATATTATGTATGGAAAGTACAGATCTCGCATAACCGAAACGCATCACTGGACGCGCGCTTGATGAGTCTGTGAGAGACCAACGCTGCCAGTCCATGGTGGTAGCCTTTTCTGTCTCATATCGTTTTGCAACTCCCTCATAGTGGAGAGAGAGAGTAACAGAGAGAACACTTACCGTGAGGCTTATTGCTGCATTATCGACACTACACCAACTTTCTTCCATTTTCATGAAATTTTTTAATCTACAATGCACGAATTAATTCTTTAGTACACAAATCAAAATTCGAAGTAATCATGAAGCAAAGAGAAAGAGAACAAATCGTTTTACAAGTTTGCGCTGGTAAAAAGCGTTTCAGCATCAACATATACTAGCAGTCGTAGCACTAGTTTTTTAAATGAAAGTGACCTAGAGAACACTAAACAATAAGCACAAGTCGAAAGCCGAAAAGGAAAAAAGAAAATGGATGCAGTGTAATTGCAGATTTACTTGAAGTAAGGAAGAAAAGAAGGGGGCGGGGGAATAGAAAGATAACGAGAGAGAGAGAGAGAGAGAGAGAGAGAGAACAGCATAACGAAATAAGTACGTATATGTTTGTTAAATGCATCTGATTAACAAGTACAGTCCACTGTGCAGAGGCTCAAATAAAAATACTGAAGCATCAAATTCAAAAGTATGGAATAAAACCGATAATTCTAACTAAGAAAAAGCCGAAACCATGTTTGTTGTCTCTGAGAAGGAGGAAAAATATCGTCAACCGAAGAAAAAATGCATAGACCTGAGAAGAAGAACGTAGCCTTGTTTGGCGAGTGGAAAACGATAAGAAAATGCAAGGAAAACATCCGTTAACACGCCGATCCTCAGTCCTCAAACAATATAAAGACATTATACATTATTATCAACGTCGGAAACAGAGGAAACGAAAAAATCGTTGTACCTTTTGTTAGCTACAATCGGATTTTGAATTTGTTAAGCTCAAACACCTGAAACCGATCGATGGATAGATGCTGATGATAAAACTTGGAAATAATTAAATGGAATGAAGTTCCTATAAGAAGAGGAATCAATAGAATGGAAAAAGAGAGGAAGAGATGAAATGAAGTTAAATTTTGATGAGATGTTTTTGGGAGGGGGTGAATGGGGGGGTATTATTCTGTTATGGTTTGATATAACCGAAGGAGAAACGCAGGTTGCAGTATTATAGAGATTTTTTGAGTGAGGGAAAGGAGGTAATGATTAGAAGCGTGTTGCACCTCACGTGACCTCTCTCCCTCTCAGAATAATTGTGGTCCCCCGCCATAAAAATTTTGTTCTAATTACGAATTTACCCCTACCACTGAAATTTGTCGATGGTAATAAAACTACTGTTGGTTCTCAAGGTTTGTTTAATCTCATTTTCATCTTTATTTTAAACCAAGTCTAATTTTTAATTTTTTTTTAGACCGGAAGTTGAATTTATTATTATCATAATAATAATATTAAAAATACAATGAATTTTTGTCTTTAAAATTTATTTAAAACCAAATTAATATTAAAATTTAGTCCGTACATAATTATATTATTGTACTAACCCCAAATTGCTTGCCCAGAGATTATAATTATTCTCTCTTTTGATCCCATCACTTACTCTTCTCTTCTCATGGTTGCAGGATATTTTTGACGATTAAACAAACTAAAAAAATTTAATTTTTTTTTTTGGTGTAGATTAATTTCACATTAAAAATAATAACTATCTGAAGAAATAAAGAAATTGAAAAAGGGTGATTTAAAACGTTGCATTAAAGACTCAACAAATCAACAACTGTGTTATCATATGCTAACTCTTTACTTCCGTAGAAATTTTAGTTATTCGATGGATTTACATAATACAAAAAGTTAGAATTTAAATGAACAAACAAAAGCAAATATATCAAAACAGAAAAGACCCAAAATTCGCAACAAAAAAAAAAAAAAAAAAAAAGTCTTTTAGTTCATTCAGTTGATAGTTCCAACCTACTTTAAATTGATAGTTGAAAATGTTTCAAGAGTTTACATTAAAACTACAACTCTGATTTTCGAAAATGATTCTTAATAATTTGTTTTAATGCATTGCTATATTGTAACTCAAAAAAATCATTACTTGGACTTCTACTGATCATTTCAATTTTCATAATTTATTTTTCACTTTTATATCATTAAACAAAGAGTCAATAATTAAATAAATTCCACAAAATTAAATTTGTCCATTCCGAAAAAAGCCACAGAATTAAACAAATAAAAATGAACCGCCCTGCTATATCTTGGCAACTTTCAAGGAGGTACAACCCCGCAACTTAAAAGAACGATGCACATAGTTAACTGGTGGAGTGTTCAACCACTTTAGCCACCAGCACACTACAGCTTAAGTGGTACCCTTTCATCTCCACAAAGTTGGAGGTTAGAAGTTACGACCTTGTTGGCTAACGTAAGGAAAAAAAAAAAAAAAAAAAAAAAGAAAATACCAGTGCTACAGTTCTCCAACATTATTGACAGAATATATACAAATACCACTGGATAATAATAAACCCATAATCCATCTAATAACAACATTTACCAAAAACAAATTCCCATGAGAACAACTCTTTATCTCCAAGACAAACTAAAAATTGTATCCAAATTCATAGTTTGGTGCATATGGTAACGACAGAACAGACACAGGACAGGACACTTCCTGTTTACTTTTATGGTAACAGCACTACCGATCCAGAAGTTTTGCGGCTCTCAAGGTCTAAATGTGCCTGCGCAACCTGAGACAAAGGATATTTATGGTTTACTCGAACTCGCAAAACCCCAGATGCAACATTGGCAAATAACTCCCCGGCAACTTCTAGCAGCTCATCTCGGGTTGCTGTATAATGCATCATTGAAGGCCTCGTCAAGAACAAAGATTTCGCTGCCAGTGCAGATAATGGAACTGGATCTGGTGTACCAGATGATTGCCCAAAACTCACCATGTATCCACGATATTTCAAGCAATCCAGTGATCCCTAGAAAATTACATCTCATAAGAGCAAAGAAATCAAGTTTAATGCAAAAAATATGCAACTTGGCACCGACGGACTGGGCCTGACTTCCAAACAAGAGGTTAAACGATAACCCCGTTCAACACCATCTTGGCTTAATCTATTCTGAGCTATGATCTATTTGGTTCTGCCTATGAACTTTAATATCAGATTTTGACCAAGAATACTCTTCAACTCGATTGCAACTAGTTTAAAGTGAAACAATTTTAGTTGGCAGGTTGCAGCCAGCACTTGAAACTGGAGACTAATACTAAAACATTTATAACCAGAGGTGGAATCATGCTCTTGCATTTCATTGGTTCAACCTCAACATTAGTAATCTTATTACGAATCAGGTATAATTCTGGTCATTTATGGAAAGCAGATATAAGGACACAAAAGGGAAAGACAAAAAAAAAAGTGAAGTTGTAGCCTGAATGATCAACCCTCAAAATAAAAAATACTCTTCATTGCACCAATTATCGATAAAAATAAGAACTGAATGACAGTTACCTGAAAAGTGTCCTTTCCGACAGAATCATAGACAACATCAACCCCCTTGCCTGATGTTATATCATTTACTCGCGCAACAAAATCCTCTTCCTTATAGATTATAACATGCTGACACCCATCTTCCTTGGCTTGGTCTGCCTTCTCTTTAGTGGACACAGTTCCAATGACTGTGGCGCCAAGGGCATAGGCCCATTGACACAACAAAGATCCGACTCCACCAGCTGCTGAGTGAATGAGGACTGTATGCGCAGGTTCAACCTGCATTGCAAGTGAATATCATTGCATCTTTTAAAAGCTACCTGGGGGTTGATACAGCTGCAAAAGATTCAATTTCTATCAACAAACATAACTTACCTTGAAACAACGGCACACTAAGAACTGAGCAGTCATGCCCTTAAGTAAGACTGACGCTGCAATTATGGAATCAACTGAAGGAGGAACTGGCACAACTTTGTCAGCAGGAAGGATCTGCTCTTCAGCATATGAGCCCATTGGATTACCAGCATAAGCCACGAGATCCCCTACTTTCCTACCAGTTAATCCAGGTCCCACAGCTATCACCTCTCCAACAGCTTCCATACCTGAAATGAGGGAACTATGTTTCAAACTTCTGAAGAACTTCACATGCAATTATCAATGAGAGAAATTGCAGTTCAGAGCCAAGTTCAAAGCTGATATCATAGCCTGAACCAGCAAAAGGGATACTAACACCAGCCATGTACACTGTCACTACAAAGGATAATTTGCCCAAGGTAGCCAATGATATGATTCCTGAATAGTTCCATAAAAAGGAGAACGTACAAAAAATTATAGTTCAGTAATTTATAAATTTGTAAGAGTTTAACAGCAAACTCCAGCATAATAGACAATGAATGTCTAGGGGGCCATACTTGTATATATCAAGAAGTAAGAGTGCAAACAATATTAGTTGAAAGTTCTTGACACAAACAATACTACTTAGGATATCTTGGATGAATTTTATCTGTTAGCCAAATAACAGTTCTTGTTTGGATCAGAGTATATGCAGAATATAGCAAGAAGACAACAGCCCATAAACCACACAAGCTAGCGAAACAGATCAACCCAACTAATGAGACAATAGATGGCCAATCTTCACAACAACTAAAATTGTTTCTGTTAACATGCAGCAGCAAGAGCCAAGCAGAAAATAACTGCTCCTCTTGCCAATTTGCATAAGCTGGTAAATTTACGGGAGTACTTATGACCATAAAATATCCAAAGATCATGCAAATCACGTCTCCATGCTCAAGAGAGTTGACATGAACTAGCCACAATATAGTAGATGATTCATTAATTTGATGATCATCTCTATTACGACTATTGCTAAATAAAAAAGATGGCACATAAGTAAGCGGCATAACTCTTTCAAAGATTCCAACTTCATTTGTCAGGAGGCTTTGTCAAAGAAGTTAGCCTATATATTCCCTGAATTCCAGTCCCTAGCAATCCAATAAAGCACTTTCAAGGAACTAATCCACAACTTCATTGAGAAGAAATAACACAGAAAGAGTAACCACCATGCCATAATCAAGAAGATTATTTATACATATTGTTAAATGACAGAGGCACATAAAAGAGAGACGTTTTTCGATTGCCGCACTCTAAGAAAAGAACCAAACCTGGAGTGAAAGGCATTGTGGCGGGCTTATAAACTCCTTTGCGGAAGTATATATCAATGAAATTAAGTCCAATGGCCTTGTTCTTCACACGTACCTCACCCTCCTTCGGCTCCCCTAGTTCAACATCCTCCCACTTGAGGACCTATCAACAAAAATGAATCTCAATACTAAAGGTAAGCGGCTAAGAAACAAATGGGAAGCGTAAACGTAGATAAATTCTAAAACCAGTTCCAAAGAAATCCTAGAGAGTGAACCGATACAAGCAAATCATGAGAATATATTTAATCAGGTTGGCCAGGTAAAATCAATAAACAACTCCTTTTAAATTCATAATCAGATTGGCCAGATTTGCTACAGAAAAAAATACGGGAGAATAAAATGCTTTCCAGGGATGTTCATTCGCACGGTACTCCAATCAAATAAACCTATCCCTGTATTTCCCACGAGTTCAGAATCTAAAACCCCAAATACCATCGATCAAAGGGGGAGAAATAGACCATTTAAACCACAAGCAATTTGATGAATACCAAATCAACGTTTTAAACAGAAATAAGATATAGAGAAGAAGAAAGAGACCTCAGGTCCACCATGCTCATAAACCCTAATAGCCTTCACCATCTTCGTCAGTGGCTCTGTTGCTTGTAATGCTTCTGTATTAAGTGCTTTAACGAGAGCTATTTTGCTTGTTAGTTTCAATGGAGGAATGGACTTAGGTGTGGAGATAGTAGTGTTAGGAGTGGAAATTTGAAGAGAAGTTGATGGCAGGTTATCGGTGGATTGGAGCGGAACCGGTCGGGATCGGTGAGAGCGCAGCGGTTGGAATCTCCGTCCGAGGGTACATATCATATTTGACGTGACTACTCACTTTTTTGTTAGTTTTTGAAGTTTGTAGAGATTACTAATGGAGTTTCATTACACGTGTCCATATTAAAGGCCGTGTCTTAATGTTTTCCAATAACGAGCCTCACATAGCTTTGTTAGATTTTAATAAAATCCATAATCAATTCATAATATAAGCTACTAATTACTATTATTGAAAAATATGCAATCGTAATTTTTTTTATCTATGGTTCGAAACGCATCTTACATATATTAAATTAAATTATTTTTAAACAAATATTTAATATTATTATACTTTAATTATATGATATAATACTGTTACTAAAAATTATAACATTAATATGACGTGTATATTATATTCGTATTAATTTAATTAAAAAAATTAAAATTTTAACTTATTTAAATTTAAAATTTTAAAAATAACTAATAAAAAAAAACATGTTTTAAAATACCTTGGGCAAATTTTATTCAATTTCAAATTTCTTACAAAAACTCCATGAAAGAAGCTCAAACACTTGCACCAATCATGTTAAAGGAGTTGGGGTTGAATTTTTGATGGAAAATAAGGCCTTCCAATGCATTTTCACACTAATGTACTAAACTACTTTCTCTAAATGTCATCTCGTAATTTGATATTTTATTCTCTTAGGTCGTAGTGATTCCTACCAAACACTTATTTTTCTATTTTATCACATCTTTAAAGAATTAAGATATAAATCATGACTCATAAAAGAGTTCACACGTCTTATTGAAATAATATGTTTTTAATATAGATTGTCTTTGAGATTACTTATTTCATATTATTTATTTTAGTAGTTTGTTTCAATTTTCTCTTTGCTTGAAGTTGAAAGTGATGTTATATATTATAACTTTTTTAATTATTCTAAATAAAAAATTATTCAAACCAAATTATTAAAAGTATAAGTCCAACTAATAATCAAATGCACGAGAAAGGTAACTTAGAAGACATATGTTAATAGAATACCTTATTTTTTTTTTCTTTTAATTTAGAGATGATGTTATATATTAGCATGTTAGAATAAAAATATTTTTTAAATAAGTAGATCTGTAAAACTAAACACACAATTGCATACTGAATTAATGAAAAATGTATGCGGAAGCGTACTTGAATCCTTTGCGGAAGAATTGTTCGTGTCTGATGGTAGAATCTCCCGAATCAATATGATGCTTCAAAAACTCATTTTCTCTGTAATGAAATTTTAAAAAAAGTAAAATGGCAATCTTGTAATTCGAAAACCATCCACATTTTATATCAACAAATTTTTGTAATTCTTATTTCGCCTATCATAAATTGAGAATATTATAAAAATAATATATGCACATTACAAGCTCATACTTATACTCAATACATTAAGGCTTAATATTGTTTAACCATATTTGATTACTTTTAAACGAACTAATTAAATTGATAGTGTAGCACTCGGAAAGGAGGAGAAGAAAAAAAAAAGCCACGTCAGCAGCCACGTCAGCAGGCCCGGTCAGCAGTCCCGGCCAACCAGGACCTGCCACGTGGCAATACCACGTCGTTCCAAAAAGGGCCACGTTGGCAATCCGCGTGGGCGCGATCGGACGACCCAGATCAAGCGGGCGATCGGACGGCCCAGATTTAATCAAAAACAGACGACCCAGATTAAATCAAAATGGACGGCTGAGATCAAAGGGCAAGGGGTTATAAATAGAACCCCCACACCAGACCACAAACCCTAGCCGCCTGCCGCTCGCCGGAGAAGACGAACCAGAAGCCGGCCGCCGCCACCCGCCGCCGCACCGGAGGAACTTCCGACCGCCGATCGAGGTAAATTTCGTACCCCCGACTCGTTTTTCCACGCTGATTCCTCCTGTGGCCAAATCGGAGCCAAAATCCCGGCCAAACGGCCGGAATACACGGCCGAAGCCCAGCGGCGCCGCCGCGCCCCTTCTCGGTTTTTGCCTCCGATGAGGCCCTTCCCGGCCTCCGTTTGATGCAATTTTTATATCACCGTGATCACCATTCTTTTCTCTACAGGTTGACCGGAGCCGAATCACCAAAACACGAACCTTGCCGGAGAGCCGCCGCACCCGAGAGCGCCGCCGCCGGTAAGCTCCGTTTTTCCGTGATTTTTTGGCCCCCCGATGGCCCTAGGGTTGTTTTCTCACAGGGACCGATGCGATTGTGGCCGAATTCGGCCGAAAACGGCCGAAAACAGCCAACCCGAGGTGACTCGCCGCCGCCAGCGGCGGCGCCGTCGCCGGAGCACGGCGGAGCCGCCGTGCCGGAGTTGCGATTTGGGCCGAAAGGGGCCCTAGGCCTAATTTGGGATTTTTTTGAAACACGTGCAGGTACCAGTAGTGCGTTTCAGTTTCTCGAGAAAAATTCAGATAAAATTAGGGATAGCCTGTAGGCGCACTGTGAATCCGTGTTCGGACCCCGAAACGAGTGAGGACCCCTCACCCTATTTCCTATCACGGTATTAAAGCTTAATAAATAATTAACGGTATTTTGAGACTTTATAGATGTATAATTGATTACGTTGCCAATGGAGCCCGAGTCTGATACAATGTGGTCTGTTATTGTTTGATCTAATTTTCAGTATTAAATGCAGTATGAGGTTTGATGTTTTCATTTTATAGTTTCGTATACATATTTTACTGTTTTATTGATTATTGGTTGAATGACTGAAATACCGATACTGTATGTTGTCTGTTTGGCATGAATTACTGTTTTGCTTATCTAAATGCGAATTGATGATGCTGATTGAGGGAAAAAAGAATGGAAGATTGTATAAATTGATAATTGTGTAATGGGGTCAGCCTGACTAGATATCCTGGGAGATGGTGGACGGACCGGGTCCGTAGGGGACCCTACCGGGATTGTGGTCTCTCATATCGGACGGAGTATGGAGATCTTATGTGTTTTGGCGTCCATACCGGACGGGGTATGGGGACGGCCCGTTTCACCCTCATACCGGACGGGGTATTGAGGTTTACAGTTTTGGCGCCCATACCGGATGGGGTATGGGGACGGCCCTGGAATCTGATTACAAGTATTAAGGGTAACGGGTAGCGGGAACCCTATGGATCCCCATGGATACTAGTAGGCTGGTGAATAAGGAAAAGTAATTGTGAAATGATTGAATTGCAAGGGCGTGACGAGTATTATGTTACACAGTTTATATGATTTCATGATTATGATAATGTTATTGCTTTCGTATATTGTTTTATGAATTTCACCGAGGTAAGTGAATGGTAAAAGGTTTTATTACTGATAAATAAGTTTATTGTAAATTATGCTCCATTGGTCTTTTTGTGTTTTCTACCCACCTTTATCTCCGTGACGGTGAGATATCGTGATGTCCTTACTGGGCTAGTGTAGCTCATTCCTTATTTAATCATTTCAGATCAGGAAGACATTGTTCCCGAGCCCGTCCGCAAGAAGACGACGAAGGGGACGCCTAAAGACTCCAAAGTCATATTCATGGTTTACTTTCGAATTTCTCTTTTAGTTAGTTTGATCTTTTATATTTTGAGCACGTTTTTGGTTTTAGTGTAAGGGATGTTAATCGAATTTTGACTTCGCTTCCGCATTTGATATTTTTAATATACATTCCATTTTAAATTTCCGGGGCCGTTACAGATAGTCTGATATGTAGGGAAACACTTGAATGAATCTACGAGGAGTGAAAACTAAGTAAAAATTCAGTCAGAATAAATATGATAAAATCTATACTAAAAAACAATTACATAAAGACACTAAAATTTTTAACGTGGAAAATATCTTCAATGTGAAGGATAAAAACTATGGGACCTCTCCTGATCTAAATAAAAAAGAGCTCCACTATAAAAATTAGTATTTACACCAACAACAAGCAACCATTATAATCCTCAAATAAACACTCAACAAAAATAAACCAAACAACAAGAAATAAATAAGGGAATAAAGAAATATCACCAAAATAACTACTCTTCATATGAAACGGATGCGTTCTGATTGTTCAAATTTTATTTCCACTGTTCAGATTAAAGAAAAATTTATCCTGAATATGCTCACCAAATTTCAGCCTCATCAGACCACAAATGAGCGTCTGATCATCGGAGAAAGTCAAATTGGTAGGTGTAGGAAAAAAAACGTAAACAGTAATTTCGAACTGAAAGTACCGAAAAACCAACTATTGAAAATCGATCTCCACCGTTCAGAATAAAGAATAATGAGTCTTCTAAATATATAATAAATTTCAGCCTGATTTGAGTAAAGATCAAGTCTGATCGTGGAAAAAAGCAAAACATGTTGGATGTAACTTTTCGAGCAAAAATTCCCTTTTTTTGTTCACTTAGTTTTGATGGTTGAAAACTTGTTTTTATACTATTCTTTAGTGTTAAAGTAATATACCCAAAAAAAAATTTAATAACCCTAATGGGCCAAAAATAAGTGGGCTCAAAAAGTATTTGGATTTTTTCACATAGGATGGGACCCAAAACCCAACAATTCTCCTCCTCCCGACTATGTGGAGGTGTTCGCCAAACCGGCAACCACTCGACATGCTTCAAATTTCACTCTTGGTAAAGCTTTTGTGCACATATCAGAACTGTTATCATCAGTGTGTATCTTCTCAAGTTTAAACTGCTTAGAATTCAAAACATTACGAATCCAATGATACCTCACATCAATATGTTTGGATCTACCATGAAAAGTATGATTCTTACTAAGATGAATTGCACTCTGACAATCATAAAATGAGACATATCTTTTTTGTATAAAGCCCAGCTCATTCAGAAACTTCTTCATCCAGAGCAATTCTTTACATGCTTCAGTTGCTACAATGAAATAAGCTTTTGTAATAGACAATGCAATGCATTTCTGCAACCTAAATTGCCATGCCACAGCTCCCCCTATAAAAGTAATCAGATACCCAGAAGTAGACTTTCTTGAATCTGTATCCCCTACCAAATCAGAATCTATAAAATCACTGAGAATAAGCTTCTTAATCCCGAAACACAATTTCAAACTAGTAGTACCACGAAGATATCTCAAAATCCACTTCACAACAT